AAAATATACTTGAGAAGAGAAAAATGATACCTTTTACCCCTTAAATACAAGGTTCCAACAAAGTTATTAAACTGACGATCAGGTTCTTCACATTCAATTTTTCCATCTAGGTTTACCAATTGTCCTTCCTTTATTATTCCAGCAACTTCTAATGATGCCTATTTTTAAAAAACAGAATGAGAAAAATAAAAATATAAGTTTGATATACTGGCAAAGCTTCAAGTCTCCAATAGTTAGTAAAAGATGATGATGAAAGTCAAGTAACTAAGAATGTTAAAATACCCAACCAAATTTTAATATAGACTTTTCTAAAAGACTTTTGACAAAGTGAAATTTTACAAATAATTTTAATAAAATTGAAATAGGTGGAAAGTCAAATTTTATTCTCTACTGAAAACTTCACTTTTTAAACTTCAACCATCATAATCTAACACCGTATAACGTTTGATACATTTATGTATGTAGCTGATGATGCTTGTTATGGTTTAAATATGAGTTGTCTCCCCAAACACAAGAATTTTCAGAGGTGAAATGATCAGATTATGAGAGTTATAACCTAATCAGTGAATTAATCCACTGATGTTAATTAACAGGGCAATAATAATAGGTAGGGTGTGGCTAAGGAAGTAGGTCACTGGGAGTGTGTGCCTTGGGGTTTATGTTTTGTCCTTTGTGAGAAGACTTCTTTATGCTTCCTGTTTGCCTGTCCTGAGCTGTTTTTTCTCTGCCCCACCCTTCCTCCATGATGTTTTGCCTTACCTTGGGCCTGAAACTATGGTGTTGGTTGACCATAAACTGAAACTCTTGAAACCTTGAGCCAATATAAACTATTCCTCTTCTAAATGGTTCTTTGTTAGGTCTTTTGATAACAAAAAGCTAACTAAAACAATGCTAAATTATGGATCAGATTTTGAGTAACAAGAATCTAGAACAGAGGTTCAAAACTTTTGTATGCATCAGATTCATCCTATGACATCTGGTGAAAATAAAGTTTGCTGAATTCATCCCCAGAGTATTTTTATTTAGTGGGTCCAAGGTTGAGTGGCACAATTTGAATTTCTAACAGATCCTAGAGGATGATGATACTTCTGGTCCCAAGTTAGGACTTGGAGCATCATTGAACTTTATCCCAAAAAGATCTCAACCTTCCATAGAGAAAAGAATAAAATCAACATCAAGAGATAGAATCAAATTGTCATCCATCTTGTCAACAGAATTGAAAGATACAAGAAGACAGCTGATAAATTTAACTATTTAAAATGAAAGACTTTTAATTCTAAAATGTTATAATTTTCCAAATGTCAAACAAATGTAAAATGTAATACAAATATTTTGAGGCATATACACATGATATAAACCCACATGAATTTCTGTTCATCAAGAGACACCTTAAAGAATGTTTCAGAACAAGTTAACAACTGGAAGAAGACATATGTAATATGTATAATTGACAAAGAATAAATATGAAAAATAAAGAAATTCTATAAATATCCCAATAGAAAAAGGAACAAAAACATTAACAAACAGTTCCCAGAAGAGAAAAACATGTACTTCCTGAAAATTCAAAAATGGATTCTCAAGCATACAATTAATGGATTATATAAGAAAGGATATCATCCCATTGATAGATGCTAAAAAATTAGTAAAAACTTTAACATGGATTGTAGAAAAAGTTTCTTAGTAAACTTCGAGTGAAGGCATCTTCCCCATGATGGTAGAGGATATCTACCAAAGCATGAAAGCAACTATCATGCATGACTATGAAATGATAGAATTTTATTAGTCAGAAGAAATAAGAAGTCACCAGTATTAACATGAAATTTATTTTTAATTGTCTGGACTTTTAGGCAATGAAATGAAATGGGGAGGAAAGTGATGAGGAATTTTTATTGGAAAGGAAATGTCAAAAATGACTCCACATTTTTTTTTTAAAAAAAGGAAGTAGTAATAGAATTTACAAGGTGGTAAATTTTATGTTAAATTTCTAGAAAGCATTAAAACCTCAAACTCTATTCTAATACTCTCCTTTCTACTGTGTAAATATGTAAAACTGATGAAAAAAATGATCACCCTACTTTTAGAAAAATAATTGACTATTAGAAAAGCCTACACATTATATTTTAAGATCATAAAAATATGAGAGTTTAATAAGTTGATGGTAAGATCAATATGCAAAAATAAGTATCAATGTGTCACCATTAGTTTAACCGTTCACATATAAGTGAACATGTGGCTATTGCAGATAAAACTGCTATAAATATTTGTACATAGCTTTTTTTGTGGATGTGAGCTTTCATTTCCCTGGGATAAATCCCTAGGAGTACAATTGCTGAGTCATATGCTAGGTACATTTCTAACTCCATATCAAACTTAGAAATTGTTTCTCAAAGTAGCTGTACCATTATATATTCCCCACCAGCAATGAATGAATGGTATAGTTTTATGCATCCTCACCAGTGTTTAACGTCACAACAATTTTTTTTATTTTGGTTGTTCTGATGGGTATTTCACTGTTTCACTGTTGTTTTAATTGTATTTTCTTAAAGACTAGCTAATGTTATAGAAAATATTTTCATGGACTTA